TACTTCTCTACCGCCGCGAATACTCCTGGACGCAACAATAATAACTAATCAACAATAATTTGTTTAGTTAAGTAATATAATATTTAATTAGTCTAAACTTTAATTAATACTTTAACTATTCTAAACTTAATAAGTATATTAATTAGAGCTATAATTTATCATAATAAAAGAAGCTTATGAGTATTTTTATATCTTTATGGCTAATTCATTGAAAAGGAAAATCTAATTAGGGTTTTCCACTATAGATGCCCATTATCAAACCCTAAATTGCATGGCCCAATGCAATCTCTAATTTCATTTAGCCCTCTAAGAGGGTAAACTTATAATTTTTATATTAACAAATACCCTCTTTTATTTAATGCACTACGGCTACTTTTTGCTCTTTAAAAAAATAAATAAGAATTATAGAAAATGCAAATGGATTTTATTTCAAAATTTTTCTTGTATTTAGTTCCAATATAATTAATATGTAATTGAAATTACTAAGAAAATGCGTGCAAATATGTATTTTCATTAATGTTTTTTTTATCCAACTCTAAAAAAATAATAGGAAGAAAAATGTATTAGATCTTCATTATGATTCACATAATATCTTCTTTCAAATAAAAACTCAATTTATCGTGAAACTGTTAAAGTGAAATGTAGTTCATATTTGAACTTTAAATTAAGCATTATTTTGAACCTAATTTGAGCAAGATTTGAATATGATTCAAGACATTCGTTCAAACTTGTTTTATAATCTTAGCTCGATGGTAATCAAACCTTGTCGGGGAAAAGATTAAAAGGAAGACATCATGGAACCTTCGAGACTAATTAAGATAATCATATTTGTGAAACCAAGTGTGATGAAGCTCATTAGAGAAGGCAACAACGAGATCATCTCTGAAAAAGCTTAGTGAAGCAAACATCATGGGAATGTGGCATAGAACCTTCATTGGATTTGGATGTTGAAAATGGCATAACCAAGTGCAATGGAGCATGTTAGAGAATAATACGATAGAGCCGCTATGATAGAGCTCATTTGAGAATGCACTATAGAAATGTAGGATGCAATATAGCTCACTTGGGAAAGTAATTATGGGACCGACTACATATGAGGAGAATAAAAGTTTGAAAACAGAGCTCAAAATAGGACAACATCATAGAGCCAATGCAATAAAGCTTGCTGAGGAAGACATCGGTGGATCAATGGAGGTTCAAAATTCTTAGTTATGTTCAAACATTAATTAGAATAAGATTCGAATCTTGTTTGCTTCACATTCAAATCAAGTTCATATTAAGATTTGAATTAAGATTAAATTCAAATAAATTTGAATATTTTTTTTTATAATGGCCTTTAATATTAACTTAAAATATAAAATGAATAATTTGTTTTGTTTTTTTTTTTTTAAATCTTCATTAACTAGTATTATAACATTTAAAAAAATCAAAATTTCTTTCCATTTTCTCTTTTAATTTTTCAAATGCTAAAATATTAACTTTTGATGAATGCTATTGAAAATAAACAAAACGGGGCCATACGGACCATCAGATTCTCCCGTGCTTGGTTTTTAGCTTACAGATATAATACAAAAAGGTTTCATTAGATTCCAGAAGCTTCGGTGGGACCATGGCCCGCACGGCCCGGTTCACATACCTGATCTCACCGGCCAGCCCCCGAACCGGCGTCAGTCACGCATGTCGACACGACGAAAGTCCACTCCACCATTTCCACCATTATGGCGTCAACCAATCCTCGCAGAAAATGACGAAATCTCTAAAATTCTCGTGGAAGGCTTCAGTCCACAAACAGGACGGTTGTTGGAGAATTGTGGAATCGAAGAGAAAATGGCAGGGGAGGAGATGCCTAAACAGAGCAGTGAAAGGAGAAGAAGTAGAGCTGGTTTGAATCTGCATGCGAACTTCAATGGTGGAGTCGTTCTCCTGCTCGGCGCCGCAGCCGGAGCGCTATTGGCATCGGCGTTTGCCGCTCATCGGATTCGTGCGCATAAAAGGAGAAGAGGATCGATGAAGGAGGGGATTCAGGTCGTTTTCGGAAGATATGCTCTGTATTATTTGGATTTTTCTTTCTTTTTTGTAATTTTTTATCTTTTCGTGGTTTTCGATATCTCTCAGGGGGATTCTGGCGATGATCTTGCTGCCCTTGAAGCAAAGGAGTTCGTTGGTGATGAAGGAGGGGAGGGGGATGGAGCTAATGCAGGAGAGGGAGTATTTCAGGTTATTGTTAGGAGGAATTCGGTTCAAATTTGCTGCCAAAAATGGAGATTTGGTTTAAGATCTGTTATTTTCAGGTGAATTCTCACGACAAACTCGATGCAAGTGTTCAAATTTCTCAAGTTGATCAAAGAGAAATAGATTTTTGTTTACTGGAAGAAGGGAAAGGAGAAGTTGAGGAGAGAAGCTCGACAATAGATATCGAGCTAGTTGATCGAGAACGAGGAGAACTAGCTGGTCATAGAGAATCGAGTGCAGATGTAATCATTTCATGTTTCTTTTATTTCTACCTGCTTTATTTGTCATTGTCTTATTTGGAGTGATTGGTGAGTTAATTTTCACAGATTAGTTCTTCTCCAGCGAATACCTTCCACAATTTGGGAGAAAAACAATTAGTCTATGATGAGGCTGCTAGCGTCAAAGAAGAGTGCAAAGCTTCATGTGTAAATTGCGAAGAGGATGATGAGGAAGATAACGAAAAGGCTTACATAGAGGAATTGGACGAGAGGGAAGAAATTTACGACTATTCGGACTTGCGTTCAGAGCAACCTAGATTACTCGAGGTAATTACCTTAAAGACAAAGTATTAAATTTTTTATAACCAATTAGATAAATCAGGGAGGACCAAGTGCATGAAACTCTTTTCAGATGATTTGGTTAAAATTTTAGTTCTGTAGATGCTCTTCATTATTAAGTCTTAAGAAAGAAGTTTTAGTTTAGGGTGTTTTCAATTGAGGTGTTAACGGATATGAGGATTTGGATCTAGTGTCATAACGGATAATTGTTTTTTGTATTGAAGTTTGAAGTGGTTAGTGCTTATTCATATAAGCTTTTGGGTTGAATATGTATTTGAACAATGGTGGATCTGCCTCAACTTTGACCCTTTTTTTGTTTATTCCTTCTAACATGAGGTGGTGATAGAGATGCTTAAGCTATTTTATGTGTTGGTGAGCTAATGAAGTGTTGGCATTAAAGGTTGATGTGCGGGTTGATTGGCAAGGGTGGATGTATGGTCTATACAATGTAGATAAAGGCACGCTAGTCTCTTCAAATGGAGATTGTATTAGGTTATTTAAAGAGAAATAAATTTATGCTAGTTCTTGAAATTAGCACCTACCAAAAAGAGCATTTAAAATCAACTGATGAGAGTAAAGTCAGACAAAGACTATCCAATAAGCAAAATTTGTGTTTCCCTTAGGGTTAGATAGGTTGGTGATGAGGACATCGTCAGATATTTCGACACATGTACCATCAGGAGACGTCGGAGATCAACGGCCACGATCATGAGTTTTATTTTGAGTCATTTTATGTAGTAGTTTATTTGATTTTTATGTTTTTCCGTTTTTGCCCTTATGGGTATTTAGTCGTTATTGTAGCCCGAGGGGCATTTTAGTCTTTTGCTTTCTTGTCATTTTGAGGCCTATTTATATGGCCCTTTCTTATGTAATAGTTTAGTTTTTGATGAATGAAAAAATATTGGCCACTTATGATCTCTTTGTGAGTTCACCCTCCTCGATCTCTTAGTGAGTTCGTAGGAGAAGCTAGATCTCTTTGTGAGTTCTAGATCTCCTGGTTCTACCATTTTCTTCCTTATTTCTTGTGATCGATTTGTCGTCGTGGACATCCGGTTGAAGCACTTGTGGGAAATTGGAATTTGCTCCTTGAATTCCTATATTTTCCCTACCTCTTCCCCTCCCTTGCTCATTGCCACCGCCCCCTCTGGATTACCTAGCCGCAGGCCTGCAGCTCCCATCCGCCGGCCAGCAGCCACCGGCCAGCCCAACCCGCCTGCCAGCAGCCGCCGGCCAGCCCTCCAGCCCGCCAGCTCCCCTTGCCGCCGGCCACCTTGAG